CTCCTCACAGCCAGGTTCACGTTCCTGCTGTTGCTGCTGCTGCTGCTGCTGCTGCGGTGGCGGCCCCTTCGAGCTGCCCCAGAGGTCACAGGCCAGCAGAGTCAGGGAGCAGCGTGACATCCCTAGGACAATGGGCAGCAGAGCCCCAGGAGCCACACGGCTCAGGGAACTGCCCAGAGGGCTGGCAAAGACGGGAAGGCAGACAGGTGGGGTCCCAGCCTGGCCCGCCCTCCTGGGCCTGTACCAAGGGAAAGCACCATGGACAGTCGAAGTCCAGTGAGCAGACCACACAGGCGCAGTCTAGGGTGAGCTCAGAAGGCGCAGGCCACAGGATTTGAAGCACAGGAGAATTCAGCTTTGAGCCACCAAACTTTTGGGGGATGGATAAAGAAACAAAGTTGGTCTGGAGATGCAGCTCGTAGTAGAGAGCTTGCTGCAAACGTGCAAGGCCCCAGATTCCATCCCCAGACCACAGGGGAAAAAAGAAAAAAGAAGGTGCAAAAAAAAACAACAAAAAACCGAAGAGCTCCCGCCCTGGACACGGACGCAGACGGCCCTGACTCCTCCCTCTGGGCCTCCTGTCCAGCTGTAGGAACTCCTAGGTCCTCTGCAGACACATGACTTGGGACACACTGTCCTCCCCTGGGGCTCCTCTGGTTGTACTGTAAATATTTACCAACTTCAAGATCCCAGGGACCAATGGTAGGATCCTGGTCTCTGTCATCGGAGGAGCACTTGGCAAGGAGGTGGGGGAGGGGGTGGCACAGCGCTCAGGCCACTTCTCTGTGCCTGCCTGTCCCAGTTAACTTGGGCCATCCACAGTCAGGCAGCCGCCAAGCTCCCCAGCAGCAGGACAAGCCCCGTCTTCCCCTCAGTCCTGGAGGGGCCTTGGGGACCTGGCACTGAAGCAGCACCCACCACCCCTGGTTGGTTATTGTGGGGTTCAGGTCGTGGCCCTGACGAGGGGTAGCAGCTGCCCTCCTCCGCCTGGGTCTTGCCCCAGCCCCGACAGGGATGGAAGCCAGAGGGCCCAGGGCACCCTGAGGGCCTGGCTCTGCCATGGGCACACTCCGGCCCGACTTGCTGCTCGAAGCAGATTAACTGAGAGTTAATCTGAGTTATGTAACCACCGTTCCCCACTCGGTGGCCTCATGAGTCACCAGCCCCTTTGAATTCCTGGAAGGGGTCTCCGAGGAACAAAGAGCAGGGTCAGATGCACCCTGTTTGTCTGCTCTGGCCCCAGCGAGCCCCTGCTCCCGCCTCCCCCTTCTGTCTGACTGGCACTGGGCAGGAGCAGCCCTCTCAAGCCAGACTTCAAACGTGGAAATCTAGATCAAGGATATTCTTGGCTTTCCAAGCTAATCTTTACATCAATTTGGTCTCTACTGACTTGTAACCCTTTGAAGAAAACTTGGCAGCTCCGTATTTAAAGCAGATGACTCCAACGCCACCCCCGGGAGGAGCCCTGGCGCTCCGGGCTCCGTGCAGACTGCAGTTGAGCTCTGTGCCCACCCACCTCATGGGGACCCAGGGAGCAGCCTTCTTCAACACACTCCAGGTGTCCTATGGGCTCCCGCCAAGTCTCAGGGACACAGGACGCAGGGGGCACAGAGCCACATCTTCCAAATGCCTTGTTTGTGTCAGAGACAGAGGCTGGGACCAGGATGATGTGTCTGGGATGGGACACGGCCATCCCCAGAGCGACCCCTGCCAGAAGGCTAAGGCACACAGAGGGGAAAGCAAGCTGATCCCTCTCCAGGGACCCACAGACGGACGCCCCAGGGAGGCGCAGAGCTGTCTCAGCTCAGCTCCTGTGCTGCCTGGCCTGCTTCGCTCTCCAATGCACAGAGGCAAAGGAAGAGGTGATTAAAATAAATAGACAACAGAGACGGCTGGGAGGGGTCCAACCCGGCTCCCCAGCAGGACGGCGGATCCCCAACAAGGGCCGAGCTTAAGGGGGACGGACTCATGTTGCTGAAGATTTGAGCTGCCTCCTAAATTTGTGATTTATTCCAGCATTATTGTCCCTGATGGGTATCACAGAGGCTGACACTACACAGATTCCAGTTGCAATCAATTTAGTAGCAGCAGCTGGAAGTCGGCACCAGCCAGGATTCACCAGGAGCGTGGCGCTGTGGACAGAGCGTTGGACTCCATCCGCCGGGCTGTTCAGCTCCAGCTGCTGGGGGACTTCAGTCAGGGACAGTGTGAGCCAGCTCCGCGGGTCCCTGTGGGAGGCCCGGGCACACGACAGCATGCACACTGAGGACTTGAGGAACTGAATGATATGGTTAGACATGCCCGGGGCCCAGAGAGAAGGGGCAGTGGAGCCTCGGGGGTGAGAAGAGACGAGTAACCCCGAGGCACACAGCCTGGGAGTGAGCACGGGGCCCTCTGCAAGGGGTCGCAGTCCTGAGCAGGCTGGGATGGACGTGGGAAGCCCCACTTGCCACCAGGCAGCCAAACTCGGAACTCGGGGCAGCCTGCTGAGTAAGCACACCCTCCAGGCTGCTGCTCCAGGGTCTCCTTCAAGGGCTGCCCTTCCCTGTGCTGGGAAGTAGCTTTGCATTTGGATACAATCAGCACCACCACCACCAAAAAAAAAAAAAAAAAAAAAAACCCAGAAAAGTAGATCGATTAGACTCCATCTGCTCTCTCTCCTAAAAAGTCAAGGCTCCAAGTACAGCTCAGCTCCAACACAAAAGGAAATAACCCAGCCCAGACTTCGCCTTGGAGCTGAGAAGCCCCTCCCCCAGGTTAAAGGAGACTCTTCCTGGCAGAGGTTGCACTCAGCCTCTACCTGTCCGAACCAGCCTCCAAGCTCGGTGGCAAGATGCCCAGTGCTCACCTGGGGAGCCAGGCAGCAAACTTGCAAGCAGAGGCCCAGGGCTTTCTGGAAAGGAAAAGTGCACCCCCTGATCGTGAGCAAGAAACCCCTCTGTTCCCAGCCCCTGTGCCTCCAGAGTGATGTGCAGCCACCAGACCCCCTGGCTCAGGCCTCTCACCCTAGCCAGGAGTCGGCACTAGCAAATATGACCGAGGGCTCTGCCATCAAGATCGCGGAGAGGTGACAGCTCATCCGTAGAGGCACATTTACAGAATATCTCCCGTGCTAACATAGATGGGGAAAAAAACAAAAGGTCATACTTCAAAATCACCAACAGAACTATTTCTGAAAGCAAAATCTCAGGAAGCTCTTATGTGGGGATGCTGTAAAGGAATTGTTTTAGAGAATTTTGAATCAAAAGAGAGGTTTCTGTGCATAATATTTGTTCTCCTCTTCCCTTATCAAAATGTATTCATCTTTCAATCTAGTAACTTAGCAATAAAAAAGAAAAAAAGCCTGAGCCTGTTCAAGTAAGTTGCCATCAGCAACCTAGTGGCAGGAGGCAGCTCCAGAAGCATTCAGGAGCTAAAGGCAACTGCCGGGCAGGGTGGAGAACTGTTTGGTCATTCACCAGGCCCATGGGGTCTGGCTGAGACCCGGGACAATCCAGAGCTGAAGCGCATACTGCAGGCTGGCAGGGCACCTGGATCCGGGTCATCTGGGCAAAGCTGTCCTTGCTCCCTTTTGCCGACACCCCAAGCCCAAACCTTATCTAGCCCAAGCACACCAATCAGTTGATCCAGGCCCAGCAACAACCAACACCCCACAGGATCAGCTTCATGATTAACCTCTTAAATCCCACAGCCACAGTCAAGTCCCGTGGACAGGCAAAGGGATGCCAATGAGAACATTCGACAATTTTCATAAGATGTGTTAAGCAGCATTTACCCCTCCGTGCCAAATCCACTCATAAATCAAGGGTAGCTAGAAAACCCTTGGCAGGCTAGTCCCCTTTCCATTTCTCAAAATCAGGACGCGCACTCTTCCTCCCTCCCTTTGCCCCACTCCCCCCAGCTTCAGGCCAGGTGGGGGCGGCGGAGGCAGCCTGTTCTAGCAACTGCTGACCCCCTTCAGCCCGAGCGCGGGAGCGCAGTGCATCCCAGTGGACAAACTCGGGAACCGCAAGCAGGGTTTCTCCGCCTCCACCTTAAGTCCTCTTGGCTCTGGGCTCCAGCCCCGACCCAAAGGCACCAGCTCTGCGGGAGACCCTGGCCGGAGGGAGAGGGGTAGAAGGTAGCTCTAAAGGGGACAAGTGCGTTCTGGTTGGCCCTGGGGCCCCCAGTGCAGGGGCCGGTGGAGTCAGAGTACCCGGGTGGGTGGGCAAAGTTTGCTGAGAAGGGTCCTTCTGAAAGCTCCCGCCACAGTGGCTGGGCTAGAACCCTGTTTGAGCGGGCCCTGGAGTCGGGGACACAGACCAGCACCCTGGCTCACCCATGCCGAGTGTGTGCATGTGAGTGGCTCGGAAGGCTGCCTGCTGTTGCTCCCCCAGAGCCCGGGCTCTCCAGTCTCAGTTGCCCGCCAGCTGTGCGCGACAGTCCGCCCGGAGGTCACCCAAACACAGCTGGGTCGTCAGCTGGGATCCTAGGAGGCTCCTGTTCAGTCCCGGGCCCAGAGGAAGAGATAGAAGGGCGGGTGGAGCGGCTGGTTCAGCTTTCCTCCGACTCCGCCTGCAGCGCTCTCCCGGGGAGCCAGGAGCGCTGGCTTTCCCTAGAAGCCCCGATTCCTGCGCCCGCCGCCGCGCCCAGCAGTCCGTGCCTCGCCCTGGGCTCCGGAGAGGAGGCGCGCTGGGGCGGCCGGCCAGGACACTGCGCTGCTGGCGCCGGCAACTGCGGGCGCGCCCGGCCAGCTCCGCTGCCCAGGTTGTTGGGGCGAACGCCGCTGCCCCGACCCCGGGACACAAGGGACCTAGGAAAACCGGCCGCTCCCTGCGGGGCCGTGGGGCTCTGGTCTCCAAGCGGCCGCCCTACCGGCCCCCGGTGCGCCCAGCTGGCCGCTTTCGGGAAGCGCGGGGGGGGGGGGGTCTCTTTATTTGCAACATTGAGGAAAGCGCCGCTTCAGGCCAGCCCGTCACCCACGCACCCACACGCACCGTGTTGTCAGCCGGGTCGCTCACCTGAGTCCTAAAAGCTGTTGAATCCACATGGTCACGTTTCGGGGAGCGGAGCCTCAGACCTTGCTCGCCCCGGCCATCTGCGCGGCGCCCGCGCCCGCTCGCTTCAGTCCCGGTCCCGTGGCGCCGGTCTCCGGCTCTCGGTCCGCCGCCGCCCGCCGCCCGCCGGCCGCGGGGCGCACAGCGAGTCAGAGCGCGGCCGCGCGGGGCTCCATGCCGGCCGGCGCGCCGCCGCCGTTGGGGCGCATGGCTCAAGCGGGCCGGCCCGCGGGGACGCACATCCTCCGGCCGGGGCGCGGGGCTGTGGCCCCCTCCAGGGGCGACACAGCGAAGGTGGCGGCGAGGCGGGGCGCGTTCCGGTGCTGTAGCTGCGAAGCGAGAGTCTGAAAAGGCGCGGCTTCGCCCTCCCGGGCGGCGGGGAAGAGGCCGGCGGCCCCGCCGAGAGCGGTACGAGTCTCGCGGCGCGGCTTCGCCTCCAGCCGGAGCCCGGCGCCGAAGAGTCGGCGTTGCCCGCTGATTTGGACGACTGTCACTCCGGCGGACGCGAGTCCTCTCACTCGCCGCAGGATCAGGGGGCTCGGTCCAGGGCTCCGCCGCCGACCGGCGCTGCTCAAGTTGCCCGGGAGCTCCGTCTGAGCGCTCGCTCTGCAGACGGCCGCGGCCCGGAGGCTGGCAAGAGGCGGGCAAGGGAGGCGCGCGGAGCGAGGGCGCCGTGGAGCGCGGGGCGTGAGGACGCGCGGCGGCGGCGCCGCGCGGAGGAGGCGCGCGGGGATCCCGGGCCCCGCCGCCCGCGCCCACCGCGCCCTCCGCAGAGCCGCCTGCGCCGCTCGGCCGCCTCCCTCGCGCGTCTGCCTCTCCGCGCGCTCGCCCCCGCCTCTTCGAGCCGGTCCCAACTCCGCCCGCCCGGCCGGGCTCACGTCACCCGCCTTCCCCGCCCCTCGAACGGGAGCCCGAGCCCCTGGCCGGGCCCCGGCTCCAGTTCACCACCACGCCTCACTGTAGCCCTGCTCGCCGCGGGGGTCTGTGCCCAGCCTGGGCGACTCTGGCGGGGGGCCTGGGTCTCCCCTGTTCCCATCCCCGGCCTTGTCCTGGTCCCCACCTAGGAAAGGCTCCAGAGAGGCCGCAGGCTCCGATTGGACCGCCTGGCGCCGCCGGATGGTGTTGCCACGGTAACCGGATGGCATGCGAAGCAGTTAGAGGTTCCGACCCGGTTACGAGTACGCCCAGTGGACTCAGAGCGCTGATTTGGGGAGGGGGCGTCCTCGAGGGAGGACTAACCGGGCGCGTGGAGCGGGGCTGTGCGAAAAGTTTCCTCCCGCGGGAGCTGACCGAGCGAGTGCTGCGCAGAAGGCTGCCGGAGGCTGGGTTGGGTCCTGCTAGCGATTCGTTCTAGGGCTGCATGTGCCGCGGACTGGCTGAGTTCCTGGTTGGAGCTTTAGTGTTTCTGACCCGATTATCCAACAGCCCCTGGGCAGCCCTCCTGGCTTTCTAGCAGCTGCTGCCTGGCCAGGCCCCAACTCTGGAGCCACCAAGAGTTCCAGGGAACCTGGGCCGCGTTGACTCTCCACCAGTTCCTTCCCCACCCCAGGGCTTTCTCGGTGTCTACCCCAGTGAGCTGTATTTGCAAGAGTGTGAGAAGAGGCTGACCGCTTCTGAGGGCCCCTTCTCTCAGAGATAACCGTCCATGGAAGGCCGGATCTGCCAGCTCCTTGAACTGTTTGGACAGAGCCCTACTTCCAACTCTCCATGTTGCTGGGGGAAATACAAAATCAGGAGCCTCAGAAATCAAGGCTGAGCACCGTCACATGCAGTAGATGAGAAGCCAGGCCAGGACCATAAGGAGAGTCTAGCTAGGGCCTCACCCTGCGCTCCCGCACCCAGGAGGGATCGGTCAGCATAGCCTGCTTTGCAGGTGAGGCCTCCCTGGGAGGGGCAGCTGGTGGTCCAGGCAGGGCCAGGCAAGCTGGGCTGGGACTTGCCATATCCCAGGAGGCCTCTCACCCAGAGGCTTCCAGCCTGCACCCAGGGGGAAGGAGGGACCCACCTTCTGCCCCACCAAGATTTCAAGAAAGTGGCCGGTGACATTGAAGCAGGCTGGGAGGAGCCTGGACATGGGTAGACCAGGTGCACATTTACTGACTGGAGTCCTGGGTCCATTATCTTAACCTCCCAGACCCTCAGTCTCCTCGTCTGTAAGATGATTTCCTATTTCCCTCCACATAGGGATTTTTGCAAGGACTGAAGGAGTTGACCTCCCACACAGTGTGACTGTTGTGGTCTATGTGCCAGTCACCCCAGACAGACAGCGGTGAGTCAGCACTTTGTGTGCCCAGATCTCCCGGGTCTTCTTCCCCCAGAACCCTCATCTGAAGGGATTCTATTAAGCGGCCAGGGAGACAAAGAGGTCCTGCCAAGAACAAGCTGGACCCAGGGGCACCAGCAAAGGCTCAGTGCCCGCACTGCTGCCACCTAGCGGTGGCAGAAGCCGGGTGCTGCACTGACAGGCCTTTCCTGCAGCTGGAATATGGTCCCGGAAGAGCCCGGCTTGACAGTCTGGGGCCAGCTGGGCTGGGGGAGGGCAGGCTGGGCTGGGTCTGTGCTGGGGACCCCGTCCACAGCCTCATGGAAGCTGCTAGCCTGTTTCAGAACATTCTAAGTGCACAGATTACAACACACAAGATCATAGACACTGACATCAAAATGCATTATCAAAAGATCAGCGTAGCGGGCGGGGTGCAGCTCAGGGGTGGTGTGTGCACAGCATGCGAGAGAGGCCCTGGGTTCCATCCCCAGCAGGGCCCAGGAAGATTAAGGGCACACACTTGTGGAGGGCAGTGAGCTTTCCTCTTTATTAATGCATTAAATAAGCAATTGGCAGATCCCAAAATACCACAGTTTTGATGCCAAGATGAGTGGAGATACCTGCAGGTCCTGTAGTATCATGTGGAGATGGCCGCAGTTGCTAGGTCAGACTGTCACGGGTACTTTCCTGCCACTGTCATCTGTCACTCACACTTAGGGAAGGACATGATCGAGTTCACTGAGGTTAGCAAAATTAAAGATGCTGTTTTCCTCCAAACAAGCTCAAACAGGCCCCCTGAATTCCACGCACATGTCCTGGGGGTCCCCGGAATAAGAAGATAACAGATGAAGTGTTTTTCTGGGACCAACAACAGGGACAAGTGGCGGCAGGAGTCACCAGGGGATGGCAGCGAGGAAGGACCGCACCGTGGCTGGCGGCTCCTCCACTGCCGGGCAGTCGGGGAGGACTGGCTGGACCTTCCCGAGGTGGCTGTCGGCCAGCTGTCCTCGAGGCAGTGCCCACCGACTCTCTCGTTTGTTTATATTTTCCCTCTCGATGACAACATTTGTTTTACATATTGTGAAACGAAAAACACAACCTGGGGAGATGCGTCCCCCGTGCGCACACACACACACGCATGCTCCCTCTCGGCGCACATGCACACCACACGCCTTCGCACACACGCATGCACACTTGATCACACCCACCAGCTTCCGCGTGCACAAAGGCCAGCTGCTCAGAGGACCCGGCCTGCAGCTCCGCTGGCCCGTCTGGCTGGCCGTGCCCACCTGGGAGACATCACGCCAGGCCGACCGTGGCAGGGCGGGCTGGTCGCCTCATCTCTGGCCTTCCTATTTTCTCGACAAAGGAGCTGGCCGGCCCCGCGGGAGGCCCTCCCCGAGGCTCTCCGAGGCCATTTACCTAATGGCCTTCACAGACTCGACTATTTTTAAAACCCATCCAAAGCCAAATTGAGCTGCCATTGTTCATTTTTCTCCCAAGGAGGTAAATGTGGCTTAAGCATGACGTTTGATTAAGTAGCAGAGTTTGGGGTTTTAAATGAGAGGGAAGTGCTGATTAAAATTATTACAAGTTTCTTTAAAGCCTCCGCGCTGACGTCTCCCCGGCCTCTCCTGCTTGCTTTCCCTCCCAGGGGAGGCTGCTGCTGGGGGCTTGGGGGCCTGCCCTTGGCTGGGCCAGAGGTGAGAGCCAGGAGCTGAGAGCCCACCAGGACGACCACCCCACAGCCCAGGGCCACCCGAGGGGGCCACTCCAGGCCCTGCTGCCTGCCGGAGTCCACCTGGGGGAGAGGGAGGCCAAGGGGCCGCTGCTGGCTCTCGGTGGTGGTGGACTCCCGCGCAGCAGGTAGGAGGGCTGCCTGAGGACTCCATCTGGCCCTGGACGGAGGAAGGTTCTCCTTTCGAGGCTTTCCCAGGTCTGGGTTGAGGGGCGAAGAGGAAGAGGACCCATCCATCAGCCTTGCGAAGTCGGGGGCCCAATTTGAAAGTGGTTCTCTGGCCCCAGGTTGCCTGCTCGGGAGGTGCCGGGCAGGAAGCTGGAGGGAGAGGGGACCGTCCCAGCAGAGGCCGGGCAGAGGAGGGCAGGGAAGCGCAGTCGGAGGCTGGGGAAACCCAAGGAGGGGCCACAGCGACTTTCTCATACCTGTGACAAGGACCAGATCTAGGGCTCCTGCTGGAGTTACAGGTCTGTCCACTTCGCCAGTCTTCCAGGACTTCAACTTCCCTGTGCTACAGCGGTGGGGGGGGGGGGGGTCTCGGCCATGGACAGCCGGAGGGGACAACAGCAGTGGTAGAAGGCTCCAAGAGGGACTAGGATATGTGACCAGGCAGGAAGGCTGAGGAGGGAAGGACCCCCTAGAGCAGGGGACAGTAGGGAGGTGGACTTCACAGTTCTCGGTTGGGCTCTGGGCAGATTATTAGGCTATAAGGAGGGAGATGGGCATGAAGTCTCTTGGGCACCCTTAGGAATGGAGTGGCAGTGAGTGTCCATGGCCTTCACTCCACTGTGACGTCCACTGGGAGTGGAGGGAGGACATAGGCACTCTGGCACTGACCCAGATGAGGGCCTGGAGAAAGACCCCTAAGAGGGGCCCCCTGGGAACAAGCGTGACCTGTCAGAAAAGGGCGGAGAGGGAGGCCAAGGGCCACTGCTTGCTCTCAGCAGAGGGGTGGCGTGTGCCAGGCTCCCAGGGAGCAGCCCACCGGGGTCCGGAGACCCTCGGCTCCAGGCAGAAAAGGCAGAGTGTGACCAGAGTCTACACTATCGATCTCTCCTGGATCAGCTCATAAACCACACCGGTCAGCAAGGACCAGATTATGTTGTATCAACAAACACGCCCAGAGCCAGGCGGCGTCACTCAGCAAGGTCCGTGGCGTGTGCATGGCAACAGCCATCAACAGCCCGTCAGCCTTGCCCCTCGGTGTCTTCATCTGAGCCTGACCTCGAGGAGCTTCCTCGCTGGGACACTGGGTCACACAGCCAAGGACAGGCGTCAGGAGATGGGCCCTGCTGGGAGGGGCGTGTCACTGCTGCACATCTCGGTGGCCAAAGCAAGTCACTTGGCAAAGCAGTGCTGGTGGGTGAGGAAGGAAACCTTGCCCCAGGTGGGACAAGCAGCTCTGGGGACAGCCGCGCTGGCTTCATGCTCCCCAACGCCAGCAACTCGCAGCAGAATTTGTGTCTTCTCCCTGAGCTGCTCAGCATGGAATCTGTGGGAGGGAGGTTTTCCTCAGGGGCTGAGCTGAGACCTTCTTCTGCCTGCAGCCCCGACAGAGACCCTCAGAACCCAAAGCTGGGGGATTCCAGAGCAGAGCTCCCCTCTGCCAGGTGCCTGTCTGCCATGCAGGAGAGCAGAGGCAGACAGTCAGGACAGTGGGCATGGGGTGAGTGGTCCACCTCTGGCTCCAAGATGGCCAGCTAATGCGTCTTGAGCACTGTGCTTCTATCTAGGGAGGAAGCTGAGACCAGTCAAGAGAAAACCATCACCATCCTCATCTCCACCACCATTGTCCTCGTCTCCTTCTCCA